AAATTTCTGAAGAAGGGTCTAGGCCCGAAACGCCAGCCTTCCTGCTCCTCTGATGCTGCTTGGCCTGCTGTGTTCATCTAGCTCTACACCTTGTTATCTCAGATTCTCCAGCATCTGCAGTTCCTACTATCTCTGAGGTATAACCAATGCTTTTTTTTTTAAATTCACCATAACTTTTCTCACTCTTGTACTCTATGTCCCTATTAATGAAGCCCAGGATATTGGGTTCTTTTTCAAACAGATCTCTCATATGTTCTGCTACGTATAAAGATTTATGTTTATAGACATCTAGGGGCTCTCTGATCCTGCAAAATCTTTATACTAGCACAGTTTATTAGATACCATCTGTCTATGTTCTTTGTGTCAAAATCTGTCACCTCACACTCTTCTGCACTGAATTTTACCTGCCATCTATTAACACACTCCATAAATTTGTCAATATCCTTCTCACTGTTAACAATGATCCCACGTTTTGTGTCATCCATAAATTTTGAAACTGTCTCTGCATACCAATATCTAAATAATCTATATCTTTATATACTATGTGTGTTCTCTATCCCTCAGCAAATGTTGTATCCAAACTAAAAACCGAAAGAACTGCGGATGCTGTAAATCAGGAACGGAACCAAAGTTGCTGGAAAGGCCCAGCAGGTCTGGCAGTATCTGTGAAGGAAAAAAACAGAGTTAACGTTTCAGGTCCAGTGACCCTTCCAGACCCAAGTGTTAACTCTGTTTTTTTCCTTCACAGATGCTGCCTGACCTGCTGGGCTTTTCCAGCAACTTTGGTTTTGTATCCAAACTGCTGTTTCAACTTTTACTCTATGGCCTATGAAGTTCCTTACCAGTCTGTTGTGTGGCACTGTATCAAATGACTTTTGGAATACTATGTACACCAAGTCAACAACCTTGCCCTCAGAAACCCTCACTATTATCTTTTCAACAAACTCCAGCAAGTTAGTTAGACTGAGATTTTCCCTTAACAAATCCGGTTGACTCTTCTGAATCAACCCACATTTTTCTGTGTAACTATGAACTTTCTGGCAAATAATTGTTTCTAGAAATTTCCCCACCATCATAGTTAAACTAATTGATCTTTACTTGCTGGAACTATCATTAAAACCTTTTTTTAGAAAGGGTGTAATGTTTGCAAGTCTCCAGTACTCTGGGACCATCCCTGATTCCAGGGAAGAATGAAAGATTATTGCCACTGTCTCCACAATTTCCAGTCACACTTCCTTTAATATCTTGGATATATCACATCCAATCCCAGAGCCTTATCAATTTTAATAACACCAGTTTATCCAATACGTCCTCCTTATCAATTTTGAACCCTTTTAATGACTGAGATTCCTCCTGTCAGCATGGCCTGAAGCCTCATAGGTAAAGACAATTCATTTGGTACCTCAGCCATGTCTCCTGCCTCTATGTGTAAATACCCTTCATGGTCCCTAATCGGCACTGCTCCTCATTTTACCACCTTTTTATGCGCTTATACAAGATTTTGGAATTTTACTTTATGCTAGCTATCAATCATTTATCATAACCCCTCTTTGCTGCTCATATTTGCTTTTCAGTCAGCTTCTGAAACTTTATATTTAGCTTGATCCCCAATTGCAATTACTACCTGAATTCTGTCATAAGCACACTTTTTCTTCTTTAACTTAATTTCTGTCTCCTTTTTTATCCAGGGGTAGGGTTGTCTGCCCTATCTTTCCCTGTTGATGCCTTGACTGTGCCCGAATCATATTCCCTTGGAAGGTAGCCCATTATTCAGCTGTTTTTCTTGCCAGCTTTACATTCCAGTCTATCTGGCCCAGGTCTGTTCTTGCCCAGTTCAAGATGGCTCACCACTGATCATTCTTACCCTGGATTGACACGTCATTTTCCATTGTCATTCTAATCCCTATGATACAACAATCATTGTCTCCTAAATTGTCCCCTAAATTATCCCCCACTGTCACTTGATCTATTTTTCCCACCACATTCCCAAGAAATAGGCCTATCAGTGCCTCCTTTCTTATCAGTCAGATTACATACTGATGTAGGAAATTCTCCTGAACTATGTGATGTCTAATGCATGGCCCTCTGAGGTCCGTGCGTAGCAGCAACTTCTACATGTGACAATCAATGGTTGAATGCTGATCAGCAAGCGCGAGACATCTGAGCTTAGAAGTAACATGGTGTTCGGGAGCAATCCAGAAATGCCAGTCCCTTGCTGCTCTTTACGATTCCCCAGTATATCTGCAGGTAATTAAAGTCCCTTATTACAACTACTATGATATTTACACTTCTCTGTAACTTCCTTGCAAATTTGTTCCCCTATATCTTTCTCACTAGTCGGTCGCCCATAAACTGAACACTATAATTGCATCCTCCTTATTCTTTAGAGCAGATAAATTGTTTCAGATTGTTTCTGTCCTTGAACATTCTCTTCTTCCGGTTCTGTAATGCATCCTTAATCAAAAATGCCACGCATCTCCTTTTTTCCCTTTCTTTTCTTTTCTGAACATCTTGTAACCAGGAGTATTTAACAACCAGACTTGCCTTTCCTTCAGCCAGGTCTCCTACAACATCTTAATCCCACAAGGGAAAGTGTGCCTATAACTCCCTGATTTTATTAATTCACTCCATGCATTCACATACATGCCGTAGCCTGATTTTGACTTATTAGTCTCTTCCTTACTCCAACTATAAACTATTTTCTGCTTTAGTATGTTCTGCTTCTCCCAACAATTTGTGCACCCTGGAAATACTTTTTAGTATTTTCTCCTGGTTCCTACACCACTGTTTAGTTAGTTTAAACCCTCCCAAATAGCACTAGCAAGATACTCTGCAAGGTATCAGTCCCAGTTCTGTTCGGATGCTGGGTCACAGGTGCCATCTTCCCCAAAGCCAGTCCAAATGTCCCACCAATGTAAAGCACTCACTCTTGCACTATCTTTCCATCAATGCATTTATCTGACTTATATTCCTATTTCTGTACTTACTTGCATGTGGCCCTGGGAGTAATTTGGAGCTTCATACTTTACATACTTTCCTGCATGCTAATTTTCCAAGTAGCTCCCTAAATACCAATTACAAGGCCACATTTCCCTTTCATATGCATGTCGTTAGTATCAATGTGGACCTCAATCTCTGTATATTTACCCTCCTGAAAAGAATATCTTGCAGTCGTTCCATGACATTTTTGACGCTAGCACCAGGAAAACACAAACTCCTTTGGAGTCACACCTAAGTGAAACACTTTTGAGCTGATATCAAACAACTCGCCACAGATCACGGGCTGAATCACAAATCTTCTGGCCAATTTGATGTAGTGTTCATCAGGTAAAGGACTTGCCCAATGAGACTACATGTAACCAACCGGTCAGAAAATCTAAACATGCATTAGAATTAATTTATGGATTGGTGTGAACATAATGCCTTAAAAATATCACTGACCAATTAACATTCCCAACAGATTATAGCACATATGCAAGCAATTACAACAAGATAATACTTTGAAGTAAGATAGATTTACGTTAGGATAACGTGGATGCTTCCGTAAAGCTTGACAAAGCTTCTTTTGAAAAACTGCTTGGTCCAAACCTACAACAATTAAAAGATCAGAATAAAATAAATTAAGGACTATTTTTGAATGCTCACAGAATTTGACAGAGCACAAATTCTTGTACATTATTTTAGGTCCAACAATTACTTCCAATTTATTTTACCACCCTTTTACGCTTGGTGACTCTGCTCCACAGCTACAACTCATCAGACAGGCAGTCAACCTGAATTGTCAAACTAAAGAATTGATCTGAATTCTCTAAAAATTAAATGAAATACGCCTTTAATGATTTAACATAAACAAAAGGATTTTTATTTAGCTTTGGATCCTGCCTAGTCTGACTAAGTACCAAAATTATTTTACTGGATTTGATTTATTTGAGTAGAATTGTTCTTAGTATAGCCACTTCTGGATTAAAAACATCATCAGACCTTGACCCCAATGGCAGCATGCACAAGAAAAATTAGTATGGTCAGAATTGGGGTTGACTAACATAAAACTGGTTGAGTGCTGAGCAAGGATATTCATAAAAGTCTCATGGAATAGAAAAGACAAAGACAATCTCAATCAGTTAATTATTTTGTATACATTCAGTGGGAAATTTCCACAGTTTGTAATGAAAATTTAAAATAAGCAGATCAAAATAGTATCTTTGTAATAACATCAAGAAATATAACATCACTTAATACATTTCAACCAAATTCTTCATGGTGAGTACCTACAAGCTATCTAAAACCTGCAAAGGAATTTTTAAAGAGTTGCTTGGTAACACAAAAACTAGAATATTGCTGAAAATGAACTTACTATTAGGGCTCTTTGTTTTCCACTCATCAGGACAGGCACAAGAATACCAACTTTCAAATAATTTATGCTACATGAGGTAAGGCATGCTGATTAGTTGGTAAGTTGACTCTGATTCATTGAGGGGTTGGCAGCATTAATGCACAGGAGAACACTAGCCCCAAAGCTTTGTTTAAATTCAAAAGAAGACATTTCAACTCCAAATGTATGACTGCCATAGAGGAATGCAGCAAGGAACAATGTACCCAAGATTTAGTTTTAATTGTGAGGGTGCAATTCTTGGACAAATTCCTTTTGCCTGCTGTGGACCAGGCCTGCAGATGAATATGTGTAATGTCTCATAAATGTGAGTGAGCTACACTGCGAATCCAACTGACAATTATAATTTGGATATTTTGTAATCCTTGGCATACTTGGGATTGTTTTAAGTGCTGAAGAATCACATCAACATTAGACACTACGCTTTGAGTTGTGCAAATTTTCATGCAGATTGAGTACAGTCAACATTTTACTTTTGGCAGTTACTTTTTGCAATTTCCTACCACCTGTCACCAATCCCTTCCAACATCCACTCATAGCTATTAAATATTCTGCTGTACCTCAATCACCTGAAGTTCAGATGTCACTATTGCTTGTTGGTACTCCATTAATCAATCCTCCTTAGGGTGAACTAACAACAGCAACAAAAATTAAACATAAAATAAGGTTTCTAGTAGTCCCTTTTCAACAACATACTTAGTTTATTTGGTTGGTTTCCATGTTTCAGAATCATTCCAGCTGATTTTAGCAACTGAACAAATATGGTGTCATCATCCACCTGTCCTTCCTGAACAGATGTAGTTCGTTTTCTCCCACCAATTTTGCTCTTCTTTGCCTCTGGGTAAAAACAGTACAAAAATAATCCCTTTATTAAACAATGACTGTACCTTTACAATTTCTTAGTAAGTTAATGACTTTGTTTACACACACACACACACTCAGAGACACACACACAGACACGCTCTTCAGCATCAATTTATAATCTGAATGCAGAGACACTGGTATCCAAAACTTTGTTCGTGCCCAGTTCAAACATCCGTCAGTTTTCTGTTTCACAAAAACTGATGAGGGTTGGGCAATATTTCTGCACTACAACGATTCCTTTTTTGTTAGGTAATGCCATTGCAAAGGGTGCTTTTCTGTTTTTGCTGTCCAGTGTTAGCATCAAGCACTCAAATATAACAGCACTAGTTCCACCAAGATATGAAAAGTTTAGGAATTGCAATCTCTGACACCGACAAATGTCAGAAACCTGTCTTTTCTTAATTTTAAACGGCAGTTATAAAATCTTGGAGAACAGCAATAATTATGCGCAAATAGCAAGAGAAAATAAACGGCCCCTTTATTGACTCCAACAAGGTAAGTTTCTCCACCTAATCAGCAGAAAAGGAAATGGATCAAGACAGCTTATAAAGAATTTCATCATTGCTTAGCCAAATGGCTAGCCTGGTTAAGCAAGATAGAGTCCAGGATTAAAGTGGTTATAATGATATCTCACATGAACAAATAGATTGCTGACACCAGTCAACATCACAAGGTTAAAAATTTCACTTGGGAGACTGACCACAGCACCAACATTAGTCAGTAATCTGTTTTAGGAGCGATGGTATAAAAGGCAACATTATGGTCATTGTGAAACAAGTGCAAATAGCAACATTCAAGCACACCAGACCTTGATATTTCTGTAACACTGGCATGCAAAAAGATGAATGCTGCTGAAAAGGATGATGCACTGCCAAAGCATTTTGTCATTAGGACAAACCCAAGAATGCCAAATTTCAAATGATCACAACAGTTAATACTGTGGGAGATATTCCTTTCCAGCATTTGTTGCCCATCTCCAATTACTTCTGAATCATGTGGCTAGATCAGTTAATTCAGAGGGCAGTTAAGAGTCAACAATTCAAGAGTCACAGACCAGCGTTTTTTCAAAATGACAATTGACATCAGTTTTCATGGTCACCATTACCGAGATAAGCTTTTAATTCCAGATGGATTAACTGAATTAGCTAAATTCCACCAGTTACCGTTGTTAAATTTGAACCTCTGTCACCAGAGCATTGTTACTAGACCTGTAACATTAACATTACACCATCATCTCCCTCAGACAGAGAATTGTGTAGGCCATGAAGCTTACAAATAACTCAGATGATTTCAGGTCAAATCCCACCATACGGCCTGAGTACAAAAATCAAGCATGACACTCTACTGCAGTCCTGAGGGATCGCTGCTCAGTCAGAAGTGCTGTCTTGCAGATGTGCACTTAAACTGGAAACCTATCTGCTTGCTTACATGGCTGTAAAAGATCTCATGGCGCTATTTCAATAAACAGTAAGAGAGTTATCCCTGGTGCACTGGCCGATATTTATCCTTCAGTCGACAAAACAATTTTTTATATGGTCATTATCTCATTTCTGTGGCAGCTTGCTGTGCACAAACTGGCGCCTGCATTTCTGCACTTCAGTAAAGTACTCCACTGGCTGTAATGCACTTTGAGGAGTCCAGTAGTGGCAAAAAGTGTTATTTAAAACCATAAGACACAGGAGCAGAAGTTGCTATTCAGCCCATCTAATCTACTCCACTATTCAATGAGATCATGGTTGATATGATAATTCCCAACTCCAGATTCCTGCCTTTTCCTCTAACCCTTTATTGACCTGAAACGTCCTGAAACGTTGACTTTGCTGCTCCTCTGACGCTGTCTGACCTGCTGTGCTTTTCCAGCCTCACATCTAGAGACTCTTACAAACTCTTGTACTTGCAAGCATGATCCCCTACAGGGATGGATTAATATTAACTTTAGCTTTAATTCCAACATGCAAATGTTTCCTCGTATTTTCAACTCACTTTTATTTTATCCTGCATGCGTACAGAACCCATTCAGAATACAGGGCCTGCCGTACTTAACAAACCAGCCTTGACAGCCCTCTGCGGTCAAAGAGAAAAAAAAATCAACAAATTCACTTCCCTCTGAGAGAATAAATTCGTCCTCACCTTTGCCTTCAATATGTAACCCCTTACTCTGAGATTATGCCCCCTGGTCCTAGACTCCTCCACAAGGGAAAACAACCTTTTCACATCTACTCTGTCAAGTCGTATTCCGATCACTTAATCTGAACTATCGACATCTTTTCTACACCAGCACCCTACACCCACTAACCCCCAACTCCACCTCCCCAAACTACAGCATAATATGCTGTCCCCTCCACACTTCACTTCAGCTCTTGTGAAGAGTCATCTAGACTCGAAACGTTAGCTTGCTGACTCTCCATGGATGCTGCCTGACCTGCTGTGATCTCCAGCATTTGTTCTCAGTACAGATTCCAGCAACTGCAGTTATTTGCTCCTACCCCTGAAAGATGCAAGCCTTTTTACCCATTGTGTGAGAAACAAAGCGAAGGAAAAGTTCAAAAGTAAGTTTATGGATCGGGTTACTTGATAAATCTTTAGCATTGGCCTCATCGGCAGACTTGGACAGTCTTCTTTTGGCCAGCATGGTGTAAAAATGAAGCCTCCCTCCACCTACTTCACTTCACTCATTCAGCCCGCCACTGGAGACTAGTCACTGCGCGTGCGTCACATCCGTATGCCGTCCCCGCTCTCAGTACGCACGCGTCTCCCTGCGCGGCCGGCAGGAAAGCATCACGGGATTTGTAGTCCTTCCTCTGATAAACTCATTGTGATTGTCAAACAGAAAATACTGCAAAACTTTGCCAGGTCAGGAAACGGCTTTCACGTTTCCGACCTACTTTTCCAGCATCCCCATCTTTCTGTTTTGTTTGGTAGTGGTCATTCACTGGGATTTAGACTGCATTAAGTTTTTCAAAGAAAATTTCAAGATGTTGGAAACGTTCAGGAGGCATCTGTAGCACGAACAGACAAGGTGGTATTTTAGGTGAAATAAAAGCAAAATATCGCAGATTCTGGAAGCCTGGCATATTGGAGGCTTCGTGTTAGCACCAACATTTCATTGCAGATTTAAAGCCAGACAATGCAAGATATATTCAGCAGATTTTGGCAGAAGAGCGAAGCACAGTTAATCTTTCAGATCCAGGCATTCCATTCGCAACTTTTGAATCAGAACTTTTGCTATCGGGTTTCATTTCAGTTTTGCAGCATCTGCAATTTACTTTAAGTATCCCCACCAACCCGTAACGGATATTTCATGTGTTTGAAAAAGCAACTAATCTTCAGAGGTTCGGAACTCCGTGTTAAAGCTTTAAATTTTGACGTCTCGGCTGGTCGGGTGATAATCCTAATATTTTACCACCATAAGAGAAAAGATTTAAAAATTAATTGCAGTACTGGCCTGCTGTGTTCATCCAGCTCTACACCTTGTTATCTCATGATAAATGATCCATTGGTCCAAGGGCTAGAATTAAAGACTGAACTGTGAAAGATGGAATGAGAGGAATCTCATGGATTATAAACTCAATGTACGGTGTCTATTTTTGAAATAAACAGAGAATGCTGGAGAAACTCAGTCAATCTGGCCACATCTGTGGAGGCAGAATCGGAGTCAATGTTTTGAGTCCAGTATGACTTCTTCAGAACTGCTTGTTGTTCGTTCTGAAGACTCTTTCTCTCTTCACAAATGTTGCCAGACTTTTCGAGTTTCAGCAGGATCGTGTGTTTATTTCAGAAACAAAGACAGTATGTACTGGGGTATTTGCCTTTATCTCTCTGCTTCTTCTCACAAAATGCGGGTGGTGTACTTTCCAACTTTTCATCCAACGACACAAAATATGTGTTAACAAATGGGCCAATTGTTGTTCCCATCCTACTGTGTGTAACAGATGTTAAGACAGTTGATAACACACCTCTGAAGCAGGTTGAACTTGAACCTAGGCCTGCCTGGTGCAAAGATAGGGACACTGCCACTGTACCTCCACAATACACCCCCATAGCTTATTTCTCTTCTATATCAAATCAATCTGAATGCAAGGAGGGGGTGTGGGTGGAGAAGAACGTCAGCACGTTGGACGTAATACGTGCGAACGTGTAGGTGGGTGAGTGAGAGCGTCATTTCCGGCGGAAGATGGCGGAGCCCGAGTTGCTGTTGGACTCTAACATCAGGCTCTGGGTTGTGTTGCCCATCGTCTTCATCACTTTCTTTGTGGGCCTGATCCGGCATTACATCTCCATTCTCTTACAGAGCGACAAGAAACTCACGGAGGAGCAGGTCTCTGACAGGTAGGTCAATCGCTTTCCGCGCATCCAGTGACCAGCACCCCTATCTCCATGGAGACCATCTTCTTTCCCAGAAGCTCCGACATGATTGACAAAAATAACTTCATGGTTAATTGAATTTCTAGTTTTACGCTGCTAGCTTTTATTTCTCGTGGATTTAGCTGAATGTTCCAGTGTTCGCATTTAAATCAAGAGCTGTCTCCTGTTTTATTTGCCATTTCATGTTTCCGACATTTGAATGTCACCTAATTGAATTTAAATATTAATACTCGCGAAAGGGGTATAAAGCAATGACGAGAGATAGCAAGAACTGCAGGTGCTGAAGTCCGAGATAACACAGTGTGAAGCTGGGGGAACACAGCAGGCCAGGCAGCATCAGAGGAGCAGGAAAGTTGACGTTGCGGGTCAGGACCCTTCTTCAGAGATGGAGAGGGGGGTGGGAGCTGGGAAATAAACAGAGGAAAAGAGGGGGTGGGCCTGGGGAAGGTAGGTGGGCTGGTGATAAGTAAGTGCAGGTGGGGATTGGTCAGTGGGATGGATGGGTGGGTTGGAGAGTTGGGAGAGAAGATGGACAGGCTGCGTCAGGTCAAGGAGGTAGATAAGAGGGGTGGTTTGGATATGAGATAGCAGGAACTGCAGATGCT